GTGAGTCATCAGTTTTATGTTTTCTTCTATCAGCATTAATAAACTTTCATTGTACAGGTGCCATAACACTTGTTCTTAGATGTTTTGTCCCCTTGCAGTTCAGCTTGTTTTAAATAAATCAGCAAACAATAAACGGTACTTGAATCTTATCACAAACTTTTCAAAATATGGGTTTCTGCCAGTGTGCACAGTTGTGGTTTGATTCATGGTAAAAGCATATACAGAACTTGTTTGCTAAGAACAAAAAAAAAGTTGGTGGCAGATAGCAGGGTGTGATCAGTTTTCAAGCACAACCTTGGCTTTCAGGGTTGCTCAAGGTAGGAAATTACCTGCAGTATTAGAATCTTCAACTGATTTTCAGGGAAAAAAATATTGGGTTTGAAAGCTTGTCAACACATTAAAAGTGTAAAAGAAGGTTAAGCCTGAAACAACTGAAAACTGTAAGCCTGTTCTGATGCCAAGTCTTCCCTTCAAGACACAGCTAATATTTTCTACTTCCTTCCTGAAAATAAATGAACTTTATTATTCAGGGACAACTTAGTCACTTCTGTTAGGATAAATATTTGTTTTGTTTTAAATAATTTTAAGCAAGGAAAGGATTCAGGTGCAAGAAAGAATAGGAATATTCATGTAATAGATTAAACAGACTGGTTTTATCTGCTATTATCCCTTAAACATTATATTTTGACTACAAACTAGAGAACTGATACAAATCAAGCTCTAGAATACTGGCTGTAACTTGGCTTGCAACATTTCCAGCCCTTTTAAATAACTTGACTGCTGATTTTTCAAGAGACAGCTTGATGGAAACTAGTTCTTTAAAACTGGGAATCTTTCAGTACTCAAATGAATTTTCTAGCTTCTTAATGTGAACTTTCTACTCATGTCTCATTTTGTTTTAATCATCCATTGAATTAGAACAAATGTTCTTTGTTCTGATGGTGTAAATTTGAGAATGGGTTACATTTTGCTGAAACAGCAGGCTTTTCATCTATTTATATTATGAACTTGAAGTACATTGGAAGAGGTTAGTATATAGGAGTCTTATTGGCTGCATCCATTTACATGGATTATATTAGTAGTAAACTAAAAGAAAGATAAATCTGGATAGAAAGCAGATCTTTTAGAAAGAAGATAACAACAAAGGGGTAAAATGCATACAACACATTTTCCAGATTTCTTACCTTACTTTCTTATAGTTACTAACTCCCACTGAAACCTGAAGCTTTCCCAATAAGTATGTTCATAAGAAACAACCTTTATAGGTTGTAGATATTTGCAGTGGCCAGAACCCATGATCGAAAAAAAGGTTAGAGCCCAAGCAAAGACATGAAATGAGTGTTATATGAAATAATGCTCACTGATTTAAGATGGTTGGCATTGGTTGATCTATTTGCATATATCTATTTTCTCTCACAAACTCCTATCCTACATTACACAGATGCACAAAAACACACATTTGACTAGAGACAGAGTAACTGTCTGGATTCAGTAAACATAAACAATCTGTGCATGCTTTTTCTGTAAGAAGTCCAACTGAAGTCCGTGACCCTTCTAAGATAAACATAACACTACTGCTCATGTTTATTCCAGCTTATTTCTTGAAAGTTGGCATGAAAATTAGGGAAAGGAGTTTTGGCGGTATTGAGGTGTTTTTTGCCCTTTGCAACATGGAATCGTTGTTCCAGGGCTGGAAGGAAAAGGACAAATATTCAGGCTTTCAGTTTAGTTCCTTTTATTCCAAGGTCAAGACTTCTGGTCATATTCAGTCCTGGTGCTAGTTGCATTCTTTTCTCTTTTCCTTCAAGAGCAAGACATAAATCTCTGCAGTGGAGAGTTCCTCAACCATGAACCTCTCCATGAGATTCCAGTCTCCTGATTTTTTCGATCTGCATGCAGAGTCTTTATTGATCGAGAAGGGTCTCCAAAGCAGATATGTATTGTTCTCATATGATGACAAGGAAGAGAGGTTCACATTACTATAAAGTGTCCATAGAATCTTCTCTTGTCTATTCATTCATACACTTTCAAGAGGCTCTGTCTCTCTTAGCATACTCTCAATCAGTGACACGGCAGATATTTAGAAAATTCATTATGGATCACAATTAATTTTGCTTTTCATTTTCCCAGACTACATTGGTAATATCAACTTTTGAACTAATCTTAGCATATGCTATTCATGTGAGCAAATATTTAGGCTTATTATGTTGTTCCTGAGGTCAGTGTACAAAAATTTCCTCCTGTTTTGGAAGTTGACTTCTGATTTTCCAACTACATCATCAGAAGGGAACATATGTACAGTCTCATTACTGTCTGCATTTGTTTATATTGGCTGAGGAAATGCCTGGTTGTAATATAAAATGTGTTGCTGTCTTTGTCTTTATGGAAGCCCAGATTGTTAATTAAAGTCATGGGAGAACAAACATAAATGTTATTCTGTACTTTCATTTTCATTTTTCATTTGCTTTTATGTTAGTCATAAAACATATTTATTGTGTTAGACCTGTATAGACAGTTATGTCCCGCTGAATGACTTTAGGCTGCTCCCTTTTTTAATTTAGCCTATTTTACAGGATTGCTGTTTGGGTGGCAAATGGCAACTGAGAGTAAGTAGTTTTGCACTGCTTAAAACAAAGGTGCAGGCTATCACTGTAGGAAACAGCCAAATAAATATTGAGGGAGTTCTTACTGGTCTTTTCTCATAGACTCTGTATTGATTCTGGGCATCTTTATTATAGGATGGTCTCATAGGGGAATGCTTTGCTTAAACGTATGCTGGTAGGCTTTGGAGTTGGCTTAATTTCCAATTCACTTTCATTTACCTTCACTAACTGAAATAATGTCCATGATGTATGCTATGTTTGATTCTACTGTCAATCATGAGGGTAGACTGTGAAGATTATGCTGTTTCATTCTATGTTCAAGCTTGCATGCAGATTCAGCAATATGAATATTTTTCATCTTCTCAGGCCTTTAAAGTGGTTGGGCTGTTTTAAATGCAATTAAATGGCTTGATCCCAAAGTTGAGCTGCTAATTAGTTGAGAGCTTCTGTTTTTGTGGTGATGGAGGAATAGAATAAAAGAGGACAGAACTGAGAAAGGTGAATAGACCTTCCAGAAGAGACCACCAGGAAGAGATTACAGAAACCCTGCAGAGGGGTGGGTGGGTGGGGGGAAATAACAAAATGAGAAAGAGCAAGTTTTTAAGAAAAAGAAGCTGAATTCATTATATTAGGAGAATAACATAACAAAATGTTTTAGAAGCAGGCACAGGTTTACCATACTGAACATGGCTGAAGAGTCCAGAGGAGGAGTGTAGAAGAATATCTTTAACTGGAAAAGAAGTAGCAGGAGCAGATGTTTTGTAATTTTCATTAATATTCCTGTGAGAAAGAAATTTCTCCCAAGAAAGATGTATGTTTCCAATGTTCACTTAGCGTGTGCAAGTATAAGACTGAATAGAGAATAAATGAAAACAGGATAAGGCAATCTGTTTTTAGGCTGGGGATTATTTTGACTTCCAAGAGTTATAGGAAGTATGTCCAGTAACAGAATAACAAAATAGTCATTTTGTCCATCTCATGTTTGTGGTTTTGGCAACTTTGGTCTTTGAAGTGGAAAAAGAGATGCATTTTGCTTTGCAGAATCTTAATGCATCATTTTCTACCCTTAGTTTGTCAAAAAGAACACAAAGTCATATGCTGTAGTCATAATCATCCATTCTACTGTTTACATTATGGTATTGTGATTGGAGGGTGTACAGGGAGAGATTTCAAAATAGGGATATGGGATATGGATGTAGGATATGGATTACAATAACCGTACATGGGAGAATACATAGCCAGATTCATTCTGTGCATATATCTAGGCATATTTGTGTGGAAAACATATTGAATGTGCTACTTGGTCCATAACATTACTGGATGCTTTCCTTCTCACCTAAGCTGATAAGGCACAAATAAAAGTTTCATTTGTCCAGGACCTGGTAGAATGAAAAACACTTAGTGGTTCGATCTTCTGATTGAATGAGGGGCGGGGAGGGGACATAGTTCACTGAATTTCCCATGCAGGCCTTTAATCATGGCTGCTCATACCTTTTGACTCTCTCAGATGTATGTGACAGTTTTTGAAATAGAAAATAAATAAGAGTATACCAACATCTGAATTTTAATATTACAATTTTCTGTTCATTGGCAAAGTATAGCTTGTTTTGGCTAATCTTAAAAGCTTAGCAGAGTTAGACTTGGTTAATGTTTGGAAAAGAGATCACCAGGAAATCACAGGCTAGATAATTAGTCTAAAATAAATCTTCAGAAAGGCAGGGGCAAACCATTTTATACCGTTGCCAACTAAATCAGTTATCAGGTCCAAACTGTTTGTTTGGTACAGTGGAAGGGTCTCCTGCAGAGAAAACCCCAAATCCACATTGTTCTGAAGTATTCCCAAATCCTCAAGCAGATTTGTAGCCTGCTGAGGAACATGAGGCTTATGTTCTATTCTGCTAATGAAATTTGTGCTGGGTCAATTAGCTTAAAGACTGCATTGTTATAATTCAACAGAAATTGAAACATGCTTGTATCCATTGAAAAATTGAAGAAATAAATTAAATAATTCCTTTTTCCCAAATATGATCTCAAGCCTTCCTTCCTTCCTTCCTTCCTTCCTTCCTTCCTTCCTTCCTTCCT